AGATTCTTTTTTTCTGGAAATAGGATCAGAAGTCATAAAGGTCCTAAGGTTGCACAGCAAATTAAGGGCAGTCAGACTCAGACCAGGGCAATTATTTCCTGAGTTCACGACATGTGTTTTTTAACTCTTACTTTATACTGACTAGTCATGAAAATGCAGTTGTTTTGCCTTTTTTTTTTTTTTTTTTTTTTTTTGGTAAAGTGTATCAAACACACTTCTGGATTGCTCCAAGCTTCTGGTTCCTTATGTGAAAGTAGGGATAACAATAGTATAGCATCTTCATGCGTTTGTTGTGAGAATTAAATGAATTAATAGATACAAAATGCTGAGACAATACCTGACCATAGTAAGTGTCTGGAATTTATTGTTTATTCTTAGTTAAGGCCTAGGCCAGTATACTTTTTTCTTTTTTTAATCCTCACCCAAGGGTATTTTTTCATAGCTTTTCAGGAGCTGGAGGGAAGACAGAGAAACATTGATGAGAGAAACATTGATTGGTTGCCTCCTGTATGGGCCTCAACTGGGGATCGAACCCCCAATCTAGGCATGTGCCCTGACTGGAATTGAACCCGCAACCTTTTGGTGTACAGGACAATACTCCAACCAACTGAGCCACACTAGCCATGGCTAGGCCATTACACTCTTGATTACTGAAGAACTTACTTGCTCACCTTACCTTAATTGATTTATTTTAAATTTGAGTTTTGTTTTTTTCACCCTATCAAACCATGCTACAAATACGAAGACAGTCCATTTGCTGTAGAGTCTGAGTGACCTAGGTGTATTAAATTAGCATCTGTACTTTTAAATTATAGGATCCTGCATAAACATTCTTAGCTTCTCTAAGCCTCAGTTCCTCATCTAGAAGATAGAGTAATATGGTATCTACTTCTTGTGAGGCTTCAAATGGGAGAACAGATGCAAAGTGCCAGCCTAGTGTCAATGTTGCTTTCCCCAGTGCCTCACACAAGTGCCTGTAAATAGCAATAGATGTTATATGGCCCATATTGAAAATGTACCTCCCTATGTCTGATCTAAAAGGGTCTATTTAGAATCAATCCATCTAATGCTTTGGCCAATGAAAAAATACATTGGTCTCTTGAAGGTTAAAAGTAGCAATGATCTGTTGCACGTGGACGATGCTTGGAGTGCAGTTCTCCAAAGGGATATTTGTTTCCAGACACACTGTAAGGTTCCTTTATGATTTTTAACATATCCAAGTACAAGCTGTACTATTATATGTTTATATTTTTGAAAATATAAATTGGCATACTTTTTATTTACATCTATTTTAGAAGAAAACTTATATCACAACTTGTGCTAGTTCTAGTTTTCCTACTACAGTTGACCTTGGAACAACACAGGGATTTGGGGCGCTGACACCCCAGCAGTCAAAAAACTGTGTGTAACTTTTGACTCCTCAAATACTTAGTTGTACCTTGGTATATATGTGGGACTGGTTCCAGGACCTCCTATGGATACCAAAATCTGTGGATGCTCAAGTTCTCTATAGAAAATGGAGTAGATCAATGCATAAAGTCAGCTCTCTGCATCTGTGGACTCCCAAACACAAATTGAAAAAAGTACAGGTACTTATTGAAAAAAATTTGTGTATAAGTGGAGCTGTGTCGTTCAAACCCGTGTTGTTCAGAATCAATGGTAATATAAACATATACAATAATAAATTAAAAAATTGTATACTATCTATTAGGTTGGCCAAAAAGTTCATTTAGTTTTTTCCATCTGATGGCTGTAGTAGGGCTTAGTTGTCTTTAACTTCATTGGAAACAATTTTGTTAGATTGTATTGTGACAGCTGTCATATGAGTGTGCATTTAAAAAAGAATAAAAATTGGTGAATTTTTTGCAGCCATTTTAATATTGAAGATGGAAGAACATACACAATATTTTAGGCATATTATGCTTTATTATTTTAAGAATGGTAAAAACAAAACTGAAACACACACACAAAAAAATGTGTGCAGTGTATTGAGAAGGTGCTGTGACTGATCAAATGTGTCAAAAGTTGTTTGCAAAGTTTTTTGGTACTATTGACATGTTGGCCAAATCATTCTTTGCTGTGGGGTTGTCTTTGCATTGGAACATGTTTAGCAGCACTCCTGGCCTCTACCCACCATAAGCTAAAGTGGGAGGTAGCCAACACTCTCAAAATATTAAAATCAATAGTTATTAGTAAAAGTAAAAAAGATGTCTTTCATTTTACAGAAAAAACTAAATGAACTTTTTGGCCAACCCAATAAATCTCTCATGCCAACTTTTAAGGTTATCTTTACCTTAATCTTAGGGTACATTAACGATCAGGTCTGTCAGTGCCTGTCACAGAACAGGTACTGCTGACCACGTCTACTTAGTGAATGACTGCCTTAGACCTGCCTTAGCATACCAATTGTGGATCTGGTGTCCTTGTCACATCACATGACTAATATCCTATGTCAGGACAGATTTAAGGTCTTTTAGTGGGGTGAGGTCTCATTTCTGTCATTAAGCAAAGTAGTGTGTGTGTGTGTGTGTGTGTGTGTGTGTGTCTGTGTAGGGATGGGGGTGAGGGATTGGATCTAGAGGCCAGAAGTAGCAACTTGCACATAGACGTCTCAGCTGCAAATTTCTCAGACTCCCAAACTCAAGATCTTACCCTTATGTAACAACCATTTAAATTCCTTGCTTTAATAATTGAATAGATTATCTAGGAGTATAGCATTGTTCCATATGTCAAATTGAATTTCAGTGATAACCTAAAATTTCATTAACTTCCATTCCTTTGTGCAAAGCATTGCTCTCTCCATAGTTCTGTTTTGTAGAAGGCCAATGGTCTTCTACAGACTTACGAGGACTGCCTGGAAAAAATCCAGCCATTGTTAATATAACAAGAACAGTTTGTGTGACATTGATGTAAACTGGCAGCCAAGGAGAGAGGACTGGAATGTGCATGCGTGAACAATGATGACTTCACTGTACTAGTCAGTGGGGGCAGTGGATGCTGTTGAGGGAATGAGTGTACTGTGTGGCTATTGCATTCAAAATGAGCAAGAAGAGCAATGAATCTGCATTGAATTTTGCATTAAGCTTGAACATTCCTCTGCAGAAACTGGATGATTCAGAAGGCTGCAGCTGTGGGCAGCTGATGATTGGCAGCTTCCTAATGACAATGCACCTGTTCATGCATTATATCTCATGCAGAGCTTTTTGGAAAAACATCAAATCACTCAGGTGCTTCAGCTCCCCTACAGCCCAGATCTGGCACCCTGTCACTTCTGGCTCCTCCCAAAACTAATATTACCTTTGAAAGGGAAGAGATTTCAGACCATCAATGAGATTCAGGAAAATCTGACAAGGCACCCAAGGTGCCTACTTTGAAGGATACTGAGACATCATTGTTCTATGTACAATGTTTCTTGTATCTTCTTCGATAAATCTATTTTTCATAGTACATGGCTGGATACCTTCCGGACAGGCTTGTATATATTAAGTCATTACCGTTTTAGGATGGACTTATTTGGACTGCATTTTCCTTCAGGGCAGAGAAAATGCTAGTTTCTTAAAAAATATTGATAGTTGAGGTGAGGGTTCCGGAGACCAACTGTACAGTTAAACAACCTTTATTAGATGTGAATGACTCAGATAAGAAGATAGTAATTGGAGCAACAAAAGGGCTCATCTGAAGACAAAGGTTATTTGCTGGTGAGTGATAACAAGTGTAGAGGAGCACGTAGAACAAGCTAAGGGCAATAGTTACACCAGGTTGTTCAAAGATAGCTAGAGCTGACGGTGGAACCAGGTTCTATAGTCAGAGCTGTAAGCCAAGTCTGTAAACCTGGCCATAGGGAAAGGAGGAGGGAGAAATACTCAAGACTACTTAACCCCAAGTAAGACAGCTTATAATGAGTATCGGTATGTATACATGTAGTTGATTCTCTTGCCAGTGAGAAGCTGACCACTGCTCATTCTCTCACCTTCAAGTTTGAGTTCCATGTTCGTAACATTAAGGAAGTGCAACATTACATCTGCCAAAATTCCTTGGTTTACCCTTTTCAGCCTCATTAACCTCTTTTCTCTCACCGTGTTTTAAACTCAATACTACCCAAACCCTCTACCATCTTCAATACAACTGTCTGTCATTGAAAGTCATAAAAACTTCTGGTAGTTTTGTCTGTACCAGATAAAGTGCTTGCCTGTTGTTGCCTATATTTCATGACCAAAGTGTCTAAATTCTTCAGTCCCTTCTTAGAAAGGACTGAATGACTATCATTTGCTCCTACCCTTTGTAGTGTGTGATTATGGGTGCTCAAAAGCATAGGCCACCTCTGTAGCTGATCAGTCTGTAACTGGCTGTTTTCCCATTTTTGGATGCTGTCTTTCCGTCATCCCTGTGGGATTCCCAGCCCTGGGGGAAAGGGCCAGGGAGGAGGCAGGTACCTTTGGCAAACACTTGGTGAATGTGAGTCATTGCAAGTCTAATGGCCTTTCCATTTGTTATCTGTTTCCATGGTCACTGCTGGGTCTCAGGATGGGAAACAGCCCTTCACACATTGGGAATCCTTACATCACTCCTTAACAACCTCCGCTGACTTCCTGTTTCTTGTGGGTAAACAGTAGTATGGAAGGCACTCGGCACACTACCTCTGAGCCCCCTTTTCTCCTCTTCCTGTCATTTCCTCCTCAGACTTCATGCCAATGCTTAAAGGGTTTCTTCTCTGAAGACCCAGCTCAAACATCACATCACCTCCCTGGGAAGCCTTCTCAGGCCTGTCTGAGAAAGAGCTCTCTTTCCTCTGGGCTCTCACAGCACCGTGTATTCACCCGAATTATGGCACCTCTCACATGGTGACATAATTACCAGTTTACACAGGCATTATTCCTACCCTCCTCACTCTAGACTGTAAGCTTCTCATGGGCTGGTGTGTCTTATTCATCTGGGTGTCATCAGAGCCTGAGTCCAAAACCAGGCTCTCAGCAGGTGCTCAGAAAATGTTGACTGAATGAAGAAAAAGGGGAAGAGACCTGGTCTTCTTTGAACTTGTTGAACCAAACACGGGCAGGATGGCACAATGAGGCACTGACCCAGTGAAGACCAGAGCAATGGTGCTTTAATGAAACTCCTTTCAAATCTGTGAACATGTTAGCTGTGAAATAAATGCTTTTATTCTTTCCATAGGACAGATTTCCAAACAATGATCACAGTTTTTAGGTTAATAAATGCTGGACAGATGAGTAGCCAAAGAATGTTTTAAAATAACAAAATTCCATCAACTATATATCAAATTTACTGAGACATCAAGAGAATATACATTTTTAGATACATGGCTAAAAACAAGACATTATTACAGTAATCAAGTCCATAAAACTAGAAAAAAAGCTGTATGACAAAAAGGCCTTTCATAAGCTATTAAATGAGTGTACACGATAGACAAACTAATTTTATATTTGAAGCAGCTTATAGCACCAACAGGTTGGCAGACGAGTAGAGGGGTAAGCCGTTGGACCGAGAACTCTGGGGGCAGGAAGGGGTCTCAGACACCATCCCCTTCAAGCCCCTTGTTTTACAAATGGCAAAATGGAGGCCCAGAGAGATGAAGCGCCTTGTCCAAAGTCACATGACACAGAGACACAAGATTGGCTAGAAAACAATCTAGGCCACCTACTTCAGGTAAGCACTCCATTTTAATATACATATAATTCTATTCGATTCAATGCACTTTTTCCTAGTAAAAGATATATCATAAAAAAAATCAATACAATTCATAACATATTCTGTATCATAGTAATTTCATTAAGAAAGAACTGACATGTAGTATAATTCACTTCTTGGACCTATTTAGATCTTAAATCAAAATTTGTGTAATCATTCATATGACACTATTATATTAGTAAATCAGTTGAGGAGAAGGTATCTAAAGAGAAAGTTTGGCACATCCTCCATTACCTAAGCTATGCCTCAAAAGTACTGAATCATTGGTATAATTTTTTTCTGATGGTTTAATATAAGTAAAGTACAACAATAGTCCAAACAAAGAGAAAGCAAATCAGATCTTTCCTTTGAAAGTATGGCACTTTTTAATTTAGTAAGAAAATGTAAAAACCTGATTCTTTTTAGGAAAAAAGTAGTTACAACTTTTAACTTGTGAATCACTTGGTATATAAGTGTTTTCTCTCTAGGAAAAAAAAAGGTGTTTCTGTAAAATTCTTTGGAGTCATGAAATTTTGTCTAGGATACCTTGTCATGATTCTGGCCTCAACTGGACAGATTTATGATGAACTAATATAGATATAAGAATGAAAAAAAAAAAAGATCACTGTTAACAGAAGCAGCATCAAAGACAAAGCATAGTGAATGTATTTAAATGGCTTCATAGATATGAAGCCAAGAAGGTGTGTGTATATATGTGATTAAGTGTGTCTTTATAGTGGTAGTTGGAAAAAATAACACACTCTGGGCATTTGTTCATCATTATCATAAACCAGCTACTGCAGAACAGTTAAACTGTGGCTTCATAAGTAGAATAAAGCCTGATAAATAAAAGTGACTTCTGCATATCATATATATGTATACATATATTATATTTTCTCACATAGATGTCTAAGTTATAAGTAAATCAACATTTAGCTACAATTTACCGCCCCCCTCCCCGCCGCCTCCATAATCCCCTTGGGTCCAGCATCACAAGATTTGATTTCGTTTTTTTTTTGAACAGGCCCTATACCTGTTGAGGAAGTTACATGACATTTATACTCCCGGCCTTTGATATCTAGCCAGCAAAAATAAAATGAAATCTCCTGGGACCTCAAGTCCATTCCTTATCACTATAAGCATCTTAACAAATATATAACAAAATGTATTTGTTTTCTCTTAGGTAAAAGAACATGTTTTAGTACTGAATAATCTATGCCTGCTACCGAAAATGTGCACATAACTGTATAATAAACATAATTTCATGAAAATATTTTAATAAGATGTATTATAAATATATAAGAAACATTAAAAATCAGAATGAAAATAAGATTAGTGTTCTGAAACTACCAGAAAAATATACTTATTAAAAAAAAAGTCTCCTTAAGTGAAGCATTAAATGTGAAGTTGTCTTTTTAGTGTACGTGTCAAATTTCACCTTTCGAAAGGTAAAACCTCTCTCTCCCCTGAACAGGTGCCTATAATTTACTTGGGAACTGGGCATGTCCTAGATGACAAGAGGTTTAAGGCAGTGGCATGATTCACATGGTGTTGGAAAGCGAGGGCAGTTCGCAATGCTGAAGAGATAGGTGACGTGGGGAAAGAATGACTATATTTGAGCAGTTTAAAACAGTCCGGCATTTGTTCATCCACAATTAATCTAATACTCAACGCCCAGACCTTAGATTTTAAAAGGGGCTTGCAGTGTAGGACAAGATTATACAGAACTAGAGAAAATCCATTGTAAATAATGTTTTTAATCCTTCATTTGTAGTTATTTTTAAGGAACTGAAGATGAATGAAAATATCAAAGGCTAAGTGTATGGTTTGGGCCCTTAGTGAGCATTAAGAAAAAAAGAACCTCTCTTCCCTTTTAATAAACTTAACAGACTCTCTGGTCATAGGAAAGTCCTTCTTTTGGGATCCCCACTGGAAATTTCGAGGATGTGAGGGCTACACTCGTGCCCAGAGGAAAATCAAGGAACCCAATGCCCAGCTGCTGGAGCCCCTGGGCTTAAGTCATGTGCCACCGAGTCCCTCCTCTCCTGGACAGTTCGTGGACAAGGCAGGGATGACACTGACACTGCGAAAAGAGCTTGTGTCTTGACACCTTCATGTTTTTTCTATGTTTCATTCTCAGCATGTTCCACCCCCCTGGGCTGGGGCAGTGAACAGGACCTCTGCAGACAGATGTTCTAGGAGGTGAGGAAAGGTAAAGAAAGGGAAGGCAGAGAGAAAAAGAGGAGCTAGATCACAAAGTCTGGTCAAGAGCAGCAGCTGGTTTGCATACCATCCTGCTCCTCTCTCTGCCCGGCTCCAGTGCACTTGGTCTCATTCCCATCATTAAGGTGGAAATTTCCGAGGTGTCTACCTTAAACCAGAGAACGTGAGCCCTGTGGGGGGTGGGGACAGTGGCCCTGTGTTCTCCCCAAGAGCTATGTCCCCTTTTTCTAGACTCATGATTGCTGAAGCCCGAAAGGCCTCTTGAGAATGAATACCTCACATTATAAAAGAACTTTCAGTTCTTTTAAACTTTTAACTGCACAGTTTGTTGTAGCCGAAAAGGGTCAGCAAGAGATGACTTCATTACTTGATTACAGTGAATACAACCTTTAGGATGCTCTTTTCTTTTGTACAATAACTATGTGAAAAGAATTTCTTATGCTACCTATACATAGCTTACAATAACTTCTGAAGCCGAGGAACTGATGGTATGGAGAGAGAGAAATTTTAATAAGCAAGTAAGTTTTGATATGTGTATATACAAAGATACACACACACACACACACACACACACACACTCCACCTGTGTACACAGTACAGGTTGGCACAACCCTATTAAGAACAATTATGACATAAAGGTGTAAGGACTTAAGTTATTCTTGGCGTTTTATCTAAACAGGGGCTTAGGTAATTTAGGCCTTGACATAACTGGATCGTTCATATATTTGAAGTATGTAATTGTGTTTTTTAAAAGGCCTAAACAGACTTTCATTAAGCAGTAACCTAATACGACACCATAGTTACCAAATGGAAAACAAGATTGTTATTTTGTGTTAGATCAGTAAAAGCGTATTTCAGAGAAAGGACGACTTGGAAAATAAAGACTTCAGAGTCTATTATTCCACTTTAAGAGCATTTTAGTTATTAGCAGTGGTTACCAAATAAGCTGAAGGTAATTCTCTTCAAGGAGCTGCTCATCATTTGATTTGTTGAGAAGAAGTGAGGGACCGTTTCACTCTTCTTCTATAAGATGATGCAAGTTTTTTTATCCTTGAAAGGGTTTTCTGAGGTTGGTATCCCTACCAGCAAAGGGTCATTCCTGGCGTGCTCCTCACAGTAGGACATGAGGTCCGCTGAGGCCTTTGAAACCTGACATGCAGACAAAGCACAGCAAACAAACAAGAAAGAAAATACTTTATTTACAAACTTTAAAAAAGTGTGTTTGCATGCTCACCTATTGGATGGAAGACTGTCAGAGAACAGGATAAGCAGGGTCTCACAGTGTCAGTCCCAAATTACTTCTCAAAAAGGGAAAGGTGCTTTTACATGGCAAAATCTGGCACCTAAAGGCCTTCCTAATCATGAGATTAAACTGACATCATATCTCCTAGTGTGAACACTGAGGACATACCGCCAAAGAGCTAGTGTTCCGGCCAAAACATTTAACCAGAATCTAATTGCCAGCATACAGTTTGATCTCAAGTGAGGGCCCCTCTGCAGAGAGAGTGGCCTGAATTCCTCATGAATGAACTGTGTGTCAGAGAGAATTCTTAGCTGATTCTGAATGTTCTGCTCCTACTCTGGTTATGTAGGAGGATGTTCTTGTACTTTGGAGAGATAGATGGTGAAGTATTTAGGGGTGAAAAGTCACGATGTCTGCCAATAACATTTAAGTGTTTCAAAGTAAAAAAAAAATATGTATTTTGTGAGTATGTGTGTGCAGAGACAGAGAGAGAGAGAAAGCAAATGTGGCAAAATGCTAACAACTGATGAATCTTGGTAGAGTATATGAGTGTTTGGTATTACAACTGTTCCATAGATTTGAAATTTCTCAAAATAAAAGGTTGTGAGGAGGTAAGGAAAAGTATATGCGAATCAAGGGAAGGTTGTGTCTTAGTTTGTATCAAAAAAAAAAAAATCAGTAAGGATGCAGAACAGAGTTAACTGATTTATGGATGTGGAGCCAAAATTCTGAAGCAATATAGAGCCAAATTCCACTAGAGTTTCAAGATTAACTGATTGGGCTTGGGGAAATAAAAAGAGAGACAAAGCTGGCATGGGAAGATGCAGTGTCTTCCTCTGGCATGAGTTAAAAATGGAAAAGGCCATGCCTGTTCAGAAGTCTGGGTGGGAGATCCCGTGGAATGCTCAGATCAGTGTCCTCACCTGAACACTGTCCAACACAGCACGGCAGGCCTCCTGTTTGGAAGACAGGTGACTATCTCCAGGCCCAAAGAAATTGATCAGGTGATTGCTTCAGTTTTTAGGAAACAGTGCTACTTGCAGCATTTCCAGGACATTCACTGCCTAGTCCTTTCTTGCAATTTTGAAGGAAAAAGACTCCAATGTCAGGTTATCTAACAAACGCTCTCCGGTTCCTTCGAGATCTTAACACCCTGAGTGCAGAACATGGTCACTAAAGTCCTCACTCATTTAACAAGCTGCATTCTCCTAAAAAGGAGATCCTGACTGTTGACTTGTTACATGCACTGATAAATCCAGAACACTTAATACATTCCAGAGGGATGACGAAGAATCCCCGTCCCAACGTAAAACTCAAGTGATCACAGGCTTTGACCATGTTCGTTCAGGGAAGGCAGGTCCTCAGGAAATCCTGCCATGGGTTTTAGGTTTTCTGTCCAAATAGAGAGGCTAACTCAGACACTTTGGCTCCCCAGTGCTTTTGAAAGGAGGCCTGTGCTAGGTAGAAATGAAAGATAAGATCCTAAGCCTCTCAGCTTGCTCTAGGAAAATCCTGGCACCAAGCTGCATTAAATAGCATTACCTTCTATGAAATGTGGCCTAGCCTTTGGAGAGTGAGGGAACTGATCAGAAAACCTGTATAATCCAATCAAACCATCTTACCTTTATTCTTTCAATGGAAGCTTCTAGTCTTAACTGCTGCACAGTCCTCCTTGCCTGGGTGATGTTGTTGGTGCTTGCTGTTTTGCTTGACATCTTCAGTTACTGTTTTTTACCTGAAATCTGAAAAGAGTTTTTAAAAAGGTGAATAACGGTCATCTTTAAGTTGTTTAAACATTTACAATGCTTTGCATTACCTTAGGGGGAAAGGATGCATTTTCCCAGTCAACAACTTCTGTGAGGTAGTTACTAAAATAACCCTAAAATAGTGAGTGGCGGTATAGGTGTCTAAGCCTGCTACGCATGCGAGCACCTTCATAAATCTCTGGTCTGCAGAAACCCAGTCCTAGTTAGAAGTTTAATCCATGCACCCCACGTACAGCATAGAGTAGCCTTTTGTGGGATTTTCTAAAGGGAAACGAATACACATAAACATTTGCAGTAGTTAGGGGGCCCCCTGCAAAGGGGAGCACGTGCAACCAGAGGCCATGTTTCCACATGCAGTTAACGCTACCGCTGTGTACTTTAACAGAAGGTTTGGTTTTATTTCCTTTTGGCTCTCTTACCCAACCATTATAAGGATGTAAGCTCTGGCAACAGAAAATGGCAAAAGATAGTGCCTCTGCAGGACTCTCCGCAAAGGGTGCATTTTTAGGTGCTATCATGAAAAAGTGGGACCTTCTCAGCTGGGAGATTCTCAATGACACAGATCCACAGCAAATGTCAAAATGGGACACAATGAAAAGCCTTAAAGCCTGACATATTGAATGAAACTTATGAAACTTAATCACTTCCTCCTTTGACTTCTCTGGCCTCATCTTGGCAGCCAGGGCTCTTGCTAATCCTGTCCCCACCACATGTTCATGGGTTGACCCTTGCCTGAGCCCTTAGATTCTAGGCTCTCCTCTTCCTCTCTTTCCCCAGCCACCTAGTGAAAATCAAAGGAAACCTCCTGGATCTTAAGCTTTGACCCATCTGGTTGTCCAATGGCACAGTCTGAGAGGAAGGCAGGCTGCGGAAGAGTGCTGTCTGGAGCTCCTGCCATATACAACTAAGTTCTCTCTTGGCTTGGTAGCAATTGGAGGAAAACGCAGAGCTGGCAGGCCCGGTAGCATTGTGGCAGTTCTATGACTCATAGGAGCAGGTGGACAGTAGGTGTGCTTCCTTGGCACTATGCAAGAGCTCAACAAAGTCTTAGGGCACCGTGGCGCCAGTAGCAAACCCAGGCTGTCTCAACTTTGTGGAGGGGCTGCGGCTGCACAAAGCATATCTGCCATAAAGGCTTAGATCAGACAAGGCTGCACAGACACTGGCAACCCACTGGCTCCACAGTGTCCACCCGAGTTCCATGCTTAGAATGCTCCCAGTGGCTGAGTTCAAGGACTTGGGTAGGGCTTGTACCCTCTAAGGTCGGAGGCAGCTTTGGGTCAAATGCACAAATATAACTGTGTGCAGAACTTTGAAAATCCAGCCTAATCAGCAAGCTTCACATTCCTGAGTCTGCACCCTGCCTCTGCCACATACTAGCTAGATGAAACTGGTCACTGAAACACGTTACTAAATCTCCATGAGCCCGAGTTGGGTTTTTTTTTTTCTTTTTCCTCTTTTTCCCCGAGTTTTCTCATTTGTAATATAAGAATACTATTTTGTTGGAGGATTTAACTTGCTGGTGCACATGCAGTGTTTAGCACAGGATCAAGGCGCTCTATAAACAGGAGCTGCTATTATACTTATCCTCGGGGGTCTCCCCTTGTACAGTGAATTGAAACGCTCTGTGTACCTGTCTGCCTCCCTGGTCAACAAGCCTCAAGGGCTTTGACGCACTGGGTCTGGTAGGCTATGGGCATCAGCTGTTTTTTTTTTTTTTTTTTTAAGCATCTCTAGGCAATTCTGCCGCACTCTAGTGTCAGCACAGAATGAAATGACTCATGACATCCAACATAAAATTCCCCTAAATTAAAGAAGCTCTAGCAGTGCAGGAAACTGGGGGTGGGGGTGGGGGTGGGAATGCTGGGGCGCGGCAGGGTGGCCTAGGCCTAGGGTGACCTCATTTCAATACATTCTTTGACCAGCTGCCTCTTCCTCAGATTCTTCAGTCATCCTGCTCCACCCCAGAGGCCTAGGATCTCCTCCCGGTGATTTTGCTCATACCCAGTGGTGTGGCTCAGCTGTTTCAGTGCTCCCAGGCCAAAGCTTATTAACAGAGCCTTTGAAAGGGAACCCAAGCAGTAGGCAACCTCACTGTGAAAAGTATGAAGTGCCCTGATTCACGTACGCCAGTTCCATATTTTGCTCCCCGTAGCATATTAAACTGGCCCTGCCAGCTGGCCCTGGTTCTGAGGACTGGCCCCCCAGCCTCTAGGAAGCAAACATGATACCCTTTCTGAGCAGCCTGTGGTCTCCAGGCTGCACCCTAAGGACTTTCATAATGTTCTCTTTGCATGAGAATAACGCCAAGCATTCTCCTCTTCTTCTCAACCTCCAGGGCATTAAGTTTCCAAGGTCTGAGCAAGTTTTCCTGTAACTGCGGAACAGTCCACACAGATCAAGAACAGGCTCAGTCACTGCTTCCACCCACAGAGCCTTAAGCAAATAGTCCACAGTCAGGCTCTATTTATAAAGTGCTCGGGTAGGCCCCTCTACAATGGGTGAGAAGCTTTGCATCTAGTACATGGAGGCCTGTCTTACGTCCTGACTGTATTATAGCCATGATTAAAAACAGCTAGCAATTCCCAGTGCACACTTGCCAGCATGGCTCCCTGCAGCTTCCTCTTTTCCAGCATCTGAGTTCTGACCTGCCCCTCACGAACAGCCTGCCCCGTCACCCAGATGGCTTTCCCTCCGCTTCAGGTAGAGTGCCACCCCTTTCTGACCTGCCAACTGCTCTCAGGCTCCCAGCTCAAATACAATGCCTCTTTTGAGAGAATATAATCTTATTATAACACTCTTCCTATGGAGAAATCAGATCAAAATTATATTGTTTCAACTGAACAAGCTGAGTTGCCTCATTTTCTGCAAGGAGGGCCACTGCTGTTTGATTCTTGTGTGGGAGGTGTGTGCAGGGGCTAAAGGTCTAGATGAGGATTTACTCCCAACTTACAGCTGCAGCTTAGCATCTCAACAGCTGGCTGAGGCAGAATCACAGGGAGAGCCTGGGAAACAAATATCTCTGAACATCTCTGTACCTACAGAGGGTTTTCTTTGGTCTTCCCTTAATGGCAAGGATGTCTGGCTGTTTGTGCTACTAGGTGTATGAAAAGCATGCTTTATTCTTGCTCCAAGAATAGCTTCCAAGGCAAACAATAGCTGCTATTTGTATGGATCTTAGACTGCACATGGTGCTTTCATATGCACTTGTCCATGAAGCCGTGCTATAATTCCAAAAGGTATACTACTATTTCATCCTTCTTTTACAGATGCAGTAACTGAGGTTAGAAAAACCTGCCCCAAGTTAACCTAGCTTGTAAGCCTTTTGACCCCAGAAGCCACACTTCCCACTGTACCATGGAAAGGATGGAATTCCAATTGATTTGATTACAAACACTCAGGTCATCGCCAAACAGTCCATGGGATGGTTCTTAATCGGGACGGTTCTTAATCAAGGGTGACCTTGACACTTCATGACCTGGACTTGCGTGCTTGCTGGTTGCCTCATGTTTGTGCAATACCCCTTCTGGTGCAGAAGGTATCATCTGTGCCTCTCTCATGCCCTGGAGGACAGGCCTCTCCTCTCCTGTCCGCAAGCTAGTCAAGAATGTTCTTGCTGCTGTCGACTGAGGCCAGCATCTGGAGATCCTGAGCCACCAGTGCTCCATCCCACCTAGAAGGCCTGTGTATACCTGTGCAGACCCCCAATTTGGTAAAACTCTGGTTATTGCTTCTGTAGCCTTGTTTTCATTTTTACATGTGGCTGACTTGAATAAATATATGTAGTATTTAGCTATTCAAATAATTTGCATTGGTTTTAATGCTGTTGTTCATCTGAATTCTCAGGGTCCTAGAAATTCCTAGGAACAAGATGTTCTGTTAGGGAAATATGAGCATTTTAATCTTTGTCTAGAGAGACCTAAAGCAGGTAGAGAAGGGTGGAGGTGGACAGAGTGTTGCGGAGCGCACTCTGGAAGGCGGGCACCAAGAAGCACCAGGTTCTGCAGCCCAAGTCATCAGGGCCTGGCCAGTAATTGAATCACTGGAGTGAAGCCAATGTTCATGAGCACACACACCCCTTGTGGCTGTAATAAAAGAGCAGGCCAAAAAAAAAAAAAAAAAAAAAAAAAAAAAAGACAACAGGCTTCCACTTCCCCTCTCATCTTGCCTTCAATATCCGGATATTACTCCAGCTCCTTGTCTGTCCCCTCATTTGTTAAAGGGGGCACAATACCTATCTTATAGGGTCATTGGGAGGAAAGACAGCAGTGCCTATCAGTAATGCACCCTGTACATACAAATGCTTAAAATGCTGGGCCCCTAGGCTTGTTAATAAGACAAGAACCATGTATTTGGCAAGACACAAGAGAAAAAATTCAGACAGCAAAAGAAGAAAGTCAAGGTCATATGACCAGGTGGCAACATCTTCCTAATACGGCAGGACGTGTGGGGAGTGCAGAGTCAAGACCTTTAGTACAGTTTTTCTATTTTCATGAACACTTACTTTCTGTCAGAGCCTAAGGGCTGAGTCCATCCCTCAGATGTGTTTGGTTGCACCCCCAGCTCAATTGTATCTGTGTGTTTTAACTTTAAAGTGATTGTCAATATTTGAAAAAAACGGAGCTATCTCACTTTAAAGGCATGAAGGACTTCTGGAAAAATCAGAGGAATCTTATAAACCAGGCTGGATCTGCGCAGTGGCTATCTAACATTTGCGGGCACACCTGCTGGGCCTTCTATCTGAGCTTGTGGTGTGGCCTTCCTTTATACTATGCCTTGGCTATTTAGTTTCAGACAAACTCCAGGATTAGGCCAGGGCACCTGAGCTCCCTCCTGCCCTTGCCACCTCCTAGCTTTGGGGACCTGGGCAGGAACTGCCACCTTGCTAGGCTTCAATTTTCCCACGGGAAAAATGGGGGATAATAATACTTTTGTATCTCAAAGGACTGTTAAGAACATCAGATAAAATAAGCTTG